AAAACCCAGCTGAATTGAACACATATTTATAAAATGATCTGGTAGTTCCCAAATTTACAAAATATGCAGAAATTGCTTGGAGATATCATGTTATAAATGGCACCCCCTGTTCAACAGGGGATCCAGGTCAGCAACCCTGGGGGCCCAAATGGTTCAGGTATCTTTGGGCTACTACTTCTATCTACTTCTTAGGACTCTGGGGTGTAGAAGTCAAAAAGTGTGGTTTTGATTGGGTTTCCAGTTCCTCTCAGGCTCCTGGGGAAAGAAAACCCAGCTGAATTGAACACATATTTATAAAATGATCTGGTAGTTCCCAAATTTTGCAAAACATGCAGAAATTGTTTGGAGATATCATTTTATAAATGATATCCCCTGTTCAACAGGGGATCTAGGTCAGCAACCCTGGGGGCCCAAATGGTTCAGGTATCTTTGGGCTACCACTTCAAACTTGATGAAATACGTTATTTTTTTTAGAAGAACAATACCCGCTTTCAATAATATAGTCTGAAAATCATAAAAAAATCCACTTGCAGATTCGAACAATGTTCATATAGCTGCGATATTTTGAATTAAATCATATCTTGCTTTGTTATGATTTGTTTGATGTCTTCATATGTATTTCAATTGCTTTAGCAAATCTTTACTGGCAACATTAACATTATTTATATATCTTTTTGAGGTTGACAGGAAGGCGCGGCGATCAACATGAGAGGTTTATAAAATGATTCAAAAGCTGGATCCATGACTCCTATGAAATGACAACTCCAGCAACAGACCCTTCAATCAACAAAAAAACACACAAAACACATCTCTCTAAAATGATCTACTCCAGGTTTCATTAAGATCTTAAATTTAGTCTCAACATGTTTCATCATCCACCCCCTCATCTCTATATAATGATAGCTGAATTCGTCTCAGACATTGTTAGTACTGTCATTATTTTGTTTTGTCTTTTTTACGTAGTTCTGTTTTTATGTAATGAACTGCCGGAGATCATTTCATAAGACTCCAGGAGGATCATTTCATAGGGACCCAAGTAAGGGGTATGTTTTCGGGAGTGTACTCTATAAGGTCATACCATCCACCCACTGCACCTCCATGGGTCCTGTCCATGGAACATGGAAAATCGCCCCACGCACTCACTCCGTCATGTCTGCCATGTATATGCATCAATAGTCCTCTCTCGACAGTTGCTGCTCTGTCCAAGCCAGGTTCGCATTCAACCATCTCTACCTGGACCTTCAAGGGGTGTCCAATACACCCCCCTTAACAGCTAAGGGGCTATAAATAGACACCCCTTGGAGGGTCCTGGTATGTGAATGGTTACAACCCTATACCCCCCGCACGACCTGAAAGAGAATTTTCCAAACGCCTGTACCTTCCTGTCGGGGTGCCGGCGCTGGTGTCCATGTGGAACACCTGTCTTTGCTTCTACACCGCCTCGAACAGCTCACCGTCAGATCTTGGCAAAGCCCGCCAAAAAGTTCACCACGGTGGAAGAAGTGACACTTACATGGGAAAGTGGGCATTGGCCTTGGAGGTGCCCCACGCAGCTGGTCAAAAGTCAAATCCGGCCAGGGGCGAGAAGCGCCCCGTAGGCCGTGTTCTGCCGGTAAGGCGTTCTCCTTCTGCGAAGCAGAAAGCAATTCCGCCCCCAGGTAGGGGACCCAGAAAACTCAGTGTTTTTGACGTTTTTTTTTCCGCGCGTGTTGCTGATGTTTGGCCGATGCTGGCACTGCATTGCCCCATCTTGGCGTTATCTTGGCCCATCTTGGGGCCTATGTTGGGCCCATGTTGAGCCTATGTTGGCCCATCTTGGCGCTATCTTGGGCTATGTTGGCCCAGCGTGTCATATATGTTGACGCACAGGACAACAGCAACAATCACAGCCACACCGCCAACAACACCATCACCAACAACCACAACAACAGCCACAACCACGACCGCGGCTTTCGCCCCCCAGCCCCCTGACTTGACACCCTGGCCGGCTGTCGGGCGTAAGCCCTTAAATCGCCTGCATATAGAGCCTTCTTAGTTGACATTGGATGGCATGTGGCAGCCAGTCATATCACCCCTCCAAACCCTTAAAACACAACTCAGGCTGCGCCTGTACCTTCTGGTGCCCACGCTACGCGTCCTGCCGCCACGGGCACGGCGTAGCGCCGCCAGCAAGGCCATGGGCATCGTCACCACGCGGTGGCGGCCTGGTCTCTTCGGTGGTTCGGGCGGCGTGGTCTCTCGCCCGTTGGATGACGATTCTCCTCAACCAAACAGGTGGTGAACTCTACTTCCATGTGATGTGTTCGTCAGAGGGTTTAGAGTCGACCCGCTGGAACACCTCACATGGAAGTGGCAAGCATCTTGGAATGCGTAGAAAGGAAAGGCAGCATTCCAAGGGGCGCATCCACTTCCACTTGGATTTGCGTCCAGGAATCTGGGACCATCTTCCCCCAGGTTTGGGGATTGACCCGGGAACAAAGCCACTCATAAGGGCGCCAGGACTAGCAAGGGGTCGCGGAACACCCTCTAGCTCCTTGGCTCCGTGTTTCATGGGGAATATATGATGGGAATATGGATGCTCCGGCGACCCTCAGTCACTCCGTGTCCCTCCCTCCAGCAACAGCTGGAGAATATGCCAAGACCATCCTGTTTGGTTGTGGCTGGACTCACCCTACTTATTTATACTTACCGCTACATATCTATTGTTATCCCAGACACTCCATGTATGCCATATATGCCTACATTGACCCCTCAAACCACCCCAATGTTGGCATATATGGCATACATGGAGTGTCTGGGTATATACTTATCACATTTTATCCCGTACTTATATCCAAATGCTGTATACTTATCACAAGATCTTTGGCACCCAAACCACCCAGGTGTTGGATGCCCAAAGACGGGAGCTTCCGCATTGCTCCAGGTGGTTCCGACCCTCCCTCGCGGCCTCTTGAAGTGTGGGTCGATGATTCGCCCCTTCGGGGGAATCCAGTCGTACCTTCTCCTCAGGTTCGGTACGACTGGACCTGGCACTGCCTGGCACCGACCATGGCAGTGTGTCCTCACCATTCCTGGGACCATATCCAAACGGCCTGTCACGACACCCCTTGTCTTTGGTCACCACCACCCTCTCAGTCCAACGATGCGCACGGTGGAAACGAGACCGATTGTTGGGGGAGCCAGTAGCGAGGTTCTTGAGTGACCCTAAGTCTCTATGCCCTATTAGAAACCAAACATCACCCAAACAACCATGTTGAGGACTTCCGTTCCTACAGAAAACCGGAAAAAACGTTTCCCCCTCGAAAAGACCGGCCCCCCCACAAGCGCGGGCGCCCACGCGGTGCCCACCTTGCGCATTGCGGATCTGCAGTTGGACGTGTGTGAGGTCGTCCTCGTCATCACCTTTGAACTGGGCGAAATGGATGGTGAGAGGAGTGAGGAACCAGGTTTCTGCCATGGTTTGGTCGTCTTTGGAACTACCGGTGATCAGCGAACTAATTAGTGGTAACTGGTCACACTGCAGGCAAGCAAATTCTTGTAAGAAAATGATGGAAAAAACCTGAGCCTCTAAGAAAAACATCCAGTTTGATGAGCTTTGAGGCTTTGATGTTGTAAAAACCGCCAAGTCAACCCCTTGCAAAGGATGCACGCCTCAAAAAGCCATTGTCTACGTGAACATTGACCTTTGCTATATCCCAAACACTCCATGTGTATGGAATGTATGCTTACAATTTTGCCTACAATCTATGCAAAATCAGTGGTTTCAGAGTAAATGTCACACACCCGAAAATGTCTTTTAGATGGGACCTATATATATATATATACACCAGCTTTTGGTGATGGTGCCATCTATTCTGAAACCACTATTTAGCCAGTCCCATCGGTCGTGTCTGGGTATGTTGATTCATCTCTGCATGGGCAAAACCGCCCTCACCCACGCCCGCTCCGCCTCCGTCCCCGGTGGCCACATGGCCTAGGTGTGGGCGAGGTGTGATACAGTTGAGTAACATGAGCGGATACATGGCTAAAGGGAAAACATGTATCCGAAAGAACACTGGTTCTCACCGAGAGTCTCATTTCCAAAACTATAGGGGTTTCCTGTGGCTTTTCCCAAATCTGGGATTGGACTTTGGGCACACCTCTGCAGTTCATGGATTGAAACGACATCTTAGACCGATCTGACCTATGTTTGGAAACGATCTCCTGCATAGCCCAGGACACTGGAAGTGGTGATCACAAGCGCATCCACTCAAAACACTACAAATTACATGGAGACAAGTTCTGAGATCGCAACCTCTTAATGTGGGGGCGGGCAAACCCTTATCTTTGCTAACTTTCTATCGTGCTGTGAGGGTTAATGTTAAAACTGTTTCAACACGAGCCCAAACTGTCCAAACTCGTATCACATCCTCATTCGGTTCGTTAGTGGTTGTGGATGGTTGTGGTCTCAAGTCACCACTACAAGGGGGCCATGGACCGCAGGAGGAACCAGTCCATGTAGGTACTCAAAGCTATAGACTTCACCAAGTATGACCACCTAAAGCAGGACATCTTGCGTTGTAGGATCACAGGTTGGCCAACTACAAAATCCTTGTGAGAACTCTTCACAAAACTCCCAAAACTCCCCCGCCATGCTTGTGGCACCAACTCACACAAAAATGCAACCAAACACAACGGAAAAAAAACAAACACACCTTTTAAAGCTCGAAACTCCCACTTTTGGGGGGCTCCTTGGCTACCGAATGTCCATCCTTTTCCTCCTCTTGCCCAGGTCACTCTCGCCCTCCGGCAGCTCTCCATCTCGTTCGACGGACACGTCTCGGAGGCGCAGCACCACGAGGCGCTGCAGGATTCGTGGACCGCCCAAGGTCTGTTGGGCGCCGCCCAGCACCAGACCCGCCTGGGTCTGTCGGAGAGGGCGACACTGTGCTTTCACCTACGGCCCTGGAAGAGACCCACATGGAGCCCGGAACACCACGTTGGCTTGTATACAGGACACTTAGATTCCATGTGAGATCATGTGAATCTAGTCCATGAACTGGTCAACGGCAGGGTGTGAATCACGTGGCAGGTATGCGGCAGTTACCGACCGCACCTCCGGAGTGCCGGTCTCAAAGGCGCCAGCCGCCAGGGGGGGTGCCGCGTTGGAGAAGTTGAGGCGGCCCCAGCGCGTGGGTTGGCACCAGCGCCTGGGGAGAGAGCGAAGTCGCCCCAGCGGAGGGGCTGGAGGTGAGTCGCCTCAGCCATCCTGAATCCTGGTGAGCCAAACGCTCAAAGCCAAGCGTCAGCGTATGGAGGTTCATTCGTGCGACGTAGCCGTTCCCGGAAGTCAAGACGCCACCATGACCTCAACAGGCGGAGGTGGACGATGTTTTGTGTGTTTCCCCAAACACTCCATGGGACTGCCATATTTGCCTACATTGGGGTGGTTGAAAAGGGGTGAATGTAGGTAAATATGCCATACATGGATTATACATGGAGTGTCTGGGTTTGGTCCATGCTTTCAGGGAACAACATTTGGTGCTTGTGAAACCGCTGCTCAAACGACGCCATCCAAATTCGAGCAATATGAAAATGCAACGAACACTCCCATGTCAGGTGAATAAGAGGCAAAGTCTGGACCTGAACAGACTTGATGACTTAATCATCCTGCAAACCGATCATGTTGATCATAACTATAACTGATGATACTCTCTGTCTGATGCAGGAAAAACCACGCCAAACCCTCAGAAAACCGCACATACTACGTACCGCACATCTACATGGTCTACACAAGGTCACAGGTCCGCTTCCATGATTGCTCTACGACTGCTCTGTGATGCAAAATGCATCCTGCAAGAAAAACCAAATACACAGAATATTACAGGCTCGAATCCACGGGCTTGGGAGGTCATGCACGGTCACCACTCCAAACAGCTTGCTACATGGTGGGTGAACTCCAAAAGCCTTTCAGAATCCTGACCGTGGCGACCGTGGTAGAATTGGTTTGGAGGTGCTCGATGAAGCTAAGAAAACCAAAGCAAACCCCGTTCCAGGATCGATTCACGGAAGGCGAGCACCTCCTTCCGCCACCTTCACTCATCCCCTCGAGGCGTGGGGCCCCCCTTTGGCCGCCTGGTGGTCCATTCGGTGGTCATGCTCGCTGGTCTCCCCACCCGGCGTTACCCAGCGCCCAGCGCCCAGCACCGTCGGGCGCGCCTCCATGGATCAGCAAGTGCCGGCCATACCGCGCGGCGCCAAAGCGCAGCCGCGGGGCAGGGAGGTTCTCGGTCGGGCCGCCCAGCCACCTGAGCTGAATCGAATCTAGAAGCAGGGGAAGCTGGCACCCTGTAATGTCACGAGTGGTTTGACCAAAGCTGAAGACAGCTGCAAACTGCAAACCTACAGATCTGGTTGCAGTGGAGGAAGGAAACCTCCATTCTCTTGAGCCCGATCGTCAAAAGTACAGGAGATAAACAAAAGGTGGGTTTGCTCGATTGCCTTGGTGAATCGAAGCCAAGTGGGCTGTGCGGGCATGTGTGTGTGGTTCTGAAACCCGCAGAATGTCCAGTCCAGGCTGACCTAGAAATTCCCGTCCCTAAAGTGGACTGAAACCAGTTCAAGAAGTTCCTGAGTAGTTAAAACATGTTAAACCTCACCCTTAAAGCGCTTCCCTCCTCGCCCAGCAGCTTGAAGTCATGGAGATCCAGCTGGTAGCCACGCATGTCTGCCAAGTGTCCACCTCGTCACGTTCACGCCCGTGGGGTCGCCGGGAATCACCGGATCGTCCCCGATCGCGCGTCGGCGCGGGGGGTGTGATGGGCCACTCGGTTCCAATGGACCTTTTGTTTGCCACAAAGCACCTAAGGCTCCAGTCGTACCTCCTCAGGTGTTTGGATCCTCCTGGCACCCACCCCAGTCCCACCTTCTCAGAAGGTACTTGGAGCCCTAGGGGACCTCAAGTGATATCCGGCCTTCAGGACGTGTCTTTTTGGTTTGCGCTGGTCACAACAACAACAAACAAAACCAACGTCCTTGCAAAAAAAACACCGTTTCAGCTGTGTTTCTTGAATATCTATTTGTGTCATTTCAAAGGTCCAGGTATGCATATTATCATATATTTATTTATAATTGGAACTTAGCACCACACAGCACCAACACGCTGTCATGAACTGTCCTCAGGTTGCCCCAATTCTCCAAAAAGGCCGTCCGAACGCGCTCGCTCCAAAGGCTCGCCTGCCAAAGGCTCGCAGTGTTCCGCAGTGCCTCCAAAGGTGATCAAGTAGTCCTTGCCATCCAAGAACCTCAGCTGATTGCGCGGGACCTTGTAGGGAAATTAAGGTGGCTGGGTCCAGAAGGTGATCTTTTTTGGGGGGTGTATAGTGTATAGTATCATTCTTGCATTCGGCACTCGAAGGCATGTCAGTAGCACACCACCAGGCTTGAGATCATTGTGGTCACGGATGGGAAATCTCAAACCGATCGGAGCTGAAGACCGGAAAAGCTGATCTCTCAAACCGATGTCAAGTACGGATCCATCACGTCACGTCACTCACATCAGGATATGATATCACATGAAATTAGTGCCGATCTGCGTGAATCACAGGGAGACCTCCCAGGCGACCCCTTGGGAGAATGGATGTAGCTGCAGTATGAGACCAGTCCATCATCCCAGTCTACCCCGAGGTCCTCCCTATTCAACTGCACGTCCTCCCAGGTCGTTTGCCCAAGCTCCGCTTTCGGTTCGGCCCCACGGGCCCAATCCATCCCATTCCGGCGGAATCCCGGAAAACCACGAGGAGCTTCAAGGTGAGACATGGATCGCCACCGGGTCAAGACTGGAACGAAATGATGGAAAACTCCGAAGTTCTGGCCTCAAAATTCGAAATCCAAAAGTTCCTGATAGGTTCGGAATGCTCCAAATGGTTCGGCTTCGACCTCTACGGTGGCAGTGCTCTCATCTGGCAATTCCAACAGGTTCAAAACACCAAAACAGTTTGGGCCCCACACCTTCACGGCATGGGACCTCCCTTCACGGTAAGGGCTGTAAGGGTTGGGTGGTAGCCAACCCCTGAGCACCCAAGGTCAACTGCTGAGGCGCGACGTATGGCCCACCGCCGCATGAAAGGAGCGCCAGTCAGGTGCTGATCCCGTGGTCTTCACGGCGGACCAGGTGCAACTCGCCAACTCCAAGACGTACCTGGTGGACTCACTGGTCGTTTGTTAGGGCATAAGGCATAAGGGTGGCTGGATCTGGACGGGTAGTTTGTTGGGTGTGGAGTCATGGTCTCATTCTGTGCTAAAGGACTCTGGTCTACTTTCGACCAGGCATGGTCTGGATGGTGGAACATGTCGTTACAGCAAGAGATCACGAAGGTCACAAGAAGATTGGCCTTTTACACGCCGAGTGACCTCAAACCACAGAATCAAAAGGTCAAGAACCAGGCAGGTACAAAGTCCGGCCAAGGATCTTCTCATGCTTTGACCCGTCTTTGCATGACGAGGCACACGAAGAAGCAACAAGTTCGGTCTTGAATCCTCTCCTCAGCTTCAGGGCTTAGGGCTGCACTATGACAAATGAACAACACCAAGCACCAAAACACATCGGCTGGTGATGGCGTGATTTAAGAAACCCACAGGATACTATGCTGATCACCTAAACCATGGTTCCTTGACTCAACCTCTATACTGGTAAGATAAGATCACTCGTAAGATCCTGACCCATGATTTGTTGCCTCTTTTTTCCACCAGGTGGTTCAATGCCTTGCCATAACTTCTACATGCCTTGCAATTTTGCCCATTTGCCTCAACCTGACTAAACACGACAACACCACCCCAATGCTCATCCAATTGCCTCGTGTGGCGCATTCCTTTTTTGGTCAGTTGCCACGTGGTCCAAAGGACCTATCCCAGTCCAGTTGGAGGAGCGGTTGCCCCGTATATCATAGCGATTGCCCCGTGTCCGCCATCCGTGCGGGAGGTAAAAAAACATGTCAACACCACCAGAACGCCAACAAAGCCTGAAAGAACCCACTGCGCCATGTGGCGTATTCATCCTCAAAGGTCGGCACGTCGCCTCCGAAGACACAAACCTCGAGAGTTCGGGGGTGTTCTCGGAGAGAGAAACAGCGGGTTCAAAAGGATTGTAACCCTAGGGTTCCTGGCCCACCTCCGTTTCGAAGATGGTTCGGGTAGATGGATTTGGGGGCTCTAACCACCTCCTGAGGATATGCCTAGGGAAAGAGTTCTTGGTTTTAGGCTGTGGTGGCCTCCGTTCACTGGAATTTTATCCAAACATGGCTGTGGGATGCTGTGGGTTATGGCACCACCTTGGTTGACCCACCTGGAAGGTCAAACTACATGGTGTTAGGGGGGCTGCAGGTTTGGACCCATTCGCACCAGGATCTGACCTAAACATGACCAGAATTCCGCTCTTGTTGCACATAAAATGGAAAACCGTGTAAAAAGCGATCTGGTCCAACAATACCGACAAACTAAACCAGTCAGTTGTAAGCCTTGTTCTTGGATGTTCTTCGTTACACCTCATCCACAGTTGCAGCGCGAAACGACATGAAACATGCACGCACATGCAAGCCCTCCCCGTTGTGAAGAAGAGATGTGAATCAGTGTATCGTTGCCACTCCACCTTCTCGCCGCCAGAGAAGGAGACACACTGCAGGTTGTACATGTATTCCGGGATGGTGCCGAAAGCCTGCCGGTCATTAGGCTAAAGGAGACCCACCTGGGAATCCTTCAGCATCCCTTGGCCACTTGCTTGATATCATCCTTGGTGTTTGACGAGTGGAAACGAAGTACTAAGGGAATTGATCCATGCCACATCCAAATGACACCTCCACACCACTGTTCCCACTGATCTGGCAGAAGTTCTGGGAGATTAAAAAACACGGATGGGCCGGATGGGCAATCGTTCCAAATATGAAAGTCCGAGTACCTATAGCCGTATAGCCATCCATAACCTCTACCCTCTCTGGAACTAACACCTAGGCACTATGTATGCAACATATGCCGACATTGACCCCCAAAACCACCCCAATGTAGGCATGTATGGCATACATGGAGTGTCTGGGGCATGGAAGTGTAGTTCAGACCTGTTTGGTCTTCGGATTTCCTGGCCCTTCTGGGCCGGGGCCATGCTCCATGTTCCGGGGAGTGCACGTACACCACTCCCTCCAGCCTCCGCTGACCCATTCCGGTCATGTAGACCCCTCCCGCTTGAATTGGGCATCCTGTTCGTTATCTGGCTTTTTGAGATATCAGCAGGCTAACCTACATCACAGGGAGCTACCCTAAGCCCTAAACTAAGAGAGGGGCCGATGGAGCCATAAGGCAGGCCCCGAACGCTGGGTGCCGGGGCCAGGCGCCGCCCGAGCAGAGAAACTGTGACAGGCTAACGTATAGATGACCCCCAGAAAGCAGGCGGGTCAAGCCGCCTGCGCTGTGGGCCTAAGCAAGCGAGTATATACAAGAGTGGGCGCTACAGTAGGCGCGACACCCTAATTATTAAAGAGTGCCCTCAAGGTCTAGGCCATTTTGCTTCTGGACGTGGCTGAGTAAGGGTTTTAAATGTTCAAGGTTAGGGTTTTGGGTTGCTGCCTGCTGGGTTGCATAGGTTCAGGGTTCGGGAGACATTCACTTCAAGACATAGGAAGCGTTCTCAGCGGAGAAGCAAAAGGCCAGCGGACTGTATGAGGAGAAGACGACTTTGGTCTGGTCCGCTACCCCCAAGTGCTTTCTTGCTGGCCCATGGGCTAGCATGCGGGCACTTGCCAACCGGAGTAAACCACCGCACCGTGACACAGGGTTTCCCACTGTACCCCCCTGGCGCACCGAAGGGGGCGTGTAACGCCCACAAAAGTGAGCGGCCCGCGACCAGGCCAATGGGGGTTTGTACCTCCTTTACCCCGCTTTTCGATTGCACATTGTTTGTCTTTTCAAATTTGATGGGGTTGGTTTTAGGGCTTTCATCCGTTGTGTGCCCCAATGAGCATTCGAAAAGCATGTATCTAACCAAGTGAAACTTCCGAGTGTCGTCCAGATATCACCAACTCAAGTTTTTCATGCTGTCTGTCAATAAGGTGCACCTTGTTCGGCTTAATGGACAATTGTCTTTGTTTGGTCATTTCTGTGCGAAAAGTTTGTTCGAAACATCTCTATATTCTAGCTGCAATCCTCACAATTACACGTGGCACTGCTGATGGAACATGCTATATGTACAGTGATCATCGTTCGAAGCTGCCCGAAGAATGCCGTCAGAAGTCGCTATACACTCTGTTTCTCATGCTGTCTATTGTTTGAACCGTCTTTGCTACAAGATCTGAAGGTGGAGCTCCACCGTGTCTGATTCTTCCAGCTCTATTCTCTTTGCCTCATGATAATTTCAAGATGTTTCATGTATTCTATTCATGGGTTCTTTTCAACGCCCTTGTTAATTGCACCATGTTTTTGCGTATCTTGTAGGCGTGCCTTGCCTGGACGATTTGTTATTTTCGGATTATCGTTTGGCTATCGTTCACGTTATTGTTCAATGATCATTTTGATATATGTCTGTGTGTTAAGTGCGAAATAGTTCACCTATCGTCACCAACAAAAAACAAAATGAATATCGATCCAAGCGCAAGCACAAGGAAACATGCCAACTTGCATGTTTTCAGGTTAGAACGCGCGGAGAACGGCTTCTTGTAAACCATTTCTCAGAAACAACTGCATACAACAAACTCAAGGATTTCATGGCTGTGTTTCCACTCTTCTGAAACTTCCGCCTCTCCTTCTTGACTCCTGGTTATAACTCTTACAGCAAACGGCGTGGGCGACTGCTTCATGTCCGGGCAAGGACGGCCTCAGGGCCTCAGTGGATTGCCCCTAGGCACATCTAGATCGAGAAGTGCACCAAAAAGGTGGCATCGGCCCTCCGCTAGTCGTCCATGGAGACGACCTCACGGAGGTAAAAGCTCAGGCTCATTTGTGTGGTTGCCTTATATCATATGGATTTCTGGGTCTGGTGGTGGTCATTGGATTTTCGAAGTAGCTTCGAACAAACACGGCTTCATCAATTTTGTCTTCTGAGTGGGAAACTCTGTTAAATCTTCAAGGCTTAGGGTTGCTGCAGAAACAAGCCTATAGACATGAACATCTTTGTGTCCCTTGCATCATCTACAAAAAATCTTGACGATGAAAGGCATCTACGTCTTTGGATTGTTCGACAATGTTGCAAAAGAAATGGAAAAGGTCTTCCAACCCTGAATGTTGGTGCTCCTGGTGAATAATCCGTCCAACTTGGGAACAAGATTCCAGTTTGGTGGCCTTATGAAGGACTCCTGCTGAACACGATTCACTCCTTCTGAACACGATTCAAAAAAAGCCCGTCCCTCGTCCGAATCTCCGGATGCGCCCACAGCGCGCAAGCGCGCGTCTCATCTCCTACCTCTTTCTTGAAAGCCTTTGTTCAATTGAGCTTTATCAAATCATGTTTATTCATGATCTGAAAAATATATCATGTTCTTTCACGTGTTTGTGTCTCCTTTATTATTTAGATTTATACAAATGTCTTCAAATTCAAACAGGGGCTTGCTGATGCTGCCCTCTGCCACCTCTCATCCAGGTTCCATTCCTCCTGGTGAGCTGTTTCTTGTGTTTTGCCCTGCTGCCACCCGCCACCTCCCATTCAAGCACCACCCCCGCCTGCTCGGTTGTATTAATATTATCTTTGGTATATTGCTTTCATTAATTGTTAATGGTTTGAATATGTTGCTTTCTTGTGTCTCTTAAAAGCCTACATCAATCTAAAAACAAACTTCGAATTCCAAAATACACTTGTACATGAGAATGGTGACCACGGGGGAAGCAAATACTACAAACATGTACTAGTAAGGTTTGCAAACCTCTACATCCTTATTGTTTCCTTATTAAGCCTTTGTATTGACAACCCTCATGACACAGGATTGCTAATGGCGAGGCCATATGTAAAGGCCCTTATTTAAAACTTGATAAACATGGACACTTAGGGTTTACAATCCTCTACATCCTTGTTGCTTGCTTCTTAGGCCTTTGTATTGACAACCTTCATTACACAGGATTGCTAATGGCGAGGCCAAATGTAAAGGCCATTGTTACAAACCTCTACATCCTTATTGTCTCCTTTTTAAACCTTTGTATTGACAACCCTCATTACACAGGATTGCCAATAGCGATGCCAAATGTAAAAGCCCTGATTAAAATGCTATAAACGTGTACACTCAGCGTTTGCAAACCTCTACATCCTTTTTGTTTCCAGATTAAACCTTTGTATTCACAACCCTCATTACACAGGATTGCTGATGGCGATGCCAAATGTAAAGGCCCTGATGAAAAATACTACAAACATGTACACTTAAGGTTTCCAAACCTCTACATCCTTATTGTTTCCTTTGTATTGACAAACCTTCATTACACAGGATTGCTAATAGCGAGGCCAAATGTAAAGGCCCTGAAAAAAAATAAACATGTACACTTAGGGTTTGCAAACCTCTACATCCTAATTGAATCCTTATTAAACCTTTGTATTGACAACCCTCATTACCCAGGATTGCTAATGGCGAAGCCAAATGTAAAGGCATTTTTAAAACACGCACAAACACATACATACGTACGTACGTACGTACGTACGTACATACCTACATACCTACATACATACATACATTTACAAACATTTACACATACATACATACTTACTTACTTACTTACATACTTACTTTACCTTACCTTACCTTACCTTATCTTACATTACATTACGTTACATTACATTACATACATTACATACTTACATACATACATAGAAAAATCCCTAAACCCGAAAAGGGAATAGACCGGGCGGGGGAAAAGGGGGGAGGGACTACTTAGCAAAGCGAGCGAGCGCAACTGGAGTAGGGCGGGCGTGAAAGATTTCGGGGAGCCCGTCCGTGACGAGGCGCGAGCGACCACTTTCCACACCACAAAACCCTAAACCCTGGTCCAGGAGTGCTTCCCCCTGCACCGCTTCCGCTAAGCGAAGCTCAACAAGGCCCCCCGGTCCTGCCGCTCGAGCCACCGAATTTCGGAGCCTCGGAGACTCCACCGATGTCCGGATGTCGCGCTCCGAGGCGATTGAAGGGGCGCTCCAAAGTTGGGATGATGATGATGATGAGGAGGAGGATGGATGAGGATGGGGATGATGGATGAGGATGAGGATGAGGATGAGGATGAGGATGATGATGACGATGATGAACCATTTGGTTGGATGGGTGGGATGATGGTGGAATCATGTGCCATCCAAGAGAATCGTGACCAGTGGATATCAATGGGGCACCAATGCCACAGCTCAGCCTCACGCGGATCCGGCTGGGGCCCGAAGCCATCACTTTGCGTCACTTGCAAGAACATCAAGCGTCGCATGGCTGGCCGCGGTAGTCCCAGCCTCAGGAATCCAGGAGTTATAGACCCAAATGAACATGGACTCTCAAAGTACTGGGTTGGTATTTTTGGAATTGTGTGGTGTTCAAGGGGAACGTGGGATCGTTTGGGAGTTACTAGACACTTTGGATCCCAAAGAAGTGAGTGAAGCGCGCTTTTTCTTTTCTCATCCACCTACTCAAGCCGAGTCAGTTCGGTCACCAGATTTATCCCACCCCGCCACTGGCCCTGTTCAACTTTGGACCCACTAGCTTTTGCAGTGGTGGAATTGGATATCTCCAATTCCATCCAATGCCACCATACAGGCTATAGTTCTTGCTCTACACATTCTGGACCTGCCCCAGGTGCCAAGAACCTTCGAAAGGCTTCCTCAGGTTGCTGAGAATGTTCCATTGCAGGGAACAAAAGCAACAAATAGAATGGGTTTGGGTCTTCTTGCGCACAAAGGCGTGCTTTGCATACATACATGATACATGTACATTTCCTCGAGCATGAGTGCTAAAGCGTCAATGGGCCCGAAATGCGGCAGCTTTAAACATGTTGTGCGAGAGCGTTTCGATTTGTTTCTTTCTGGTTTTAATCTTTCTGTGTTTTCGCATTCTGCCCGTTCGTCCGTCAAATTTTCCCAAACATGTTTATGTGTGAAATGACGCCACTGCTGTCTCGGACCTCCAACTCTTCTTCTTCCAATTGGATCACTGTTAGTTCGATGATACATGTGCTGGTACATAATAAATCACTACAACTGAGGCTGCGGAGAGGTCGACCTCCTCCTGGAAATCAAGGACAAGGCCGTCACATTGGAGGAGAGGGTTTCGATCCACTTCCATGATTCTTTCAATCCATCCATTTCCTCATGGTGCTGGTTTCCATCCACTTCCATCCTACTTGGTATTTGATGTATTGTGTGCAGGACTGGTTTCTTTGCAGGACTGGTTTCCGCACCTCGATGCATGTGTGTTGGCATCATGGCCTCCCAGCACCAGCACACAGCCGCCATAGGCCTCAGGTTCCCGGTTTCATCTGCAGCTGGGACCGTAGAGATTGGGTCAAGATCCGGGTAGGAAGGCTGAAAGGGAAGTGGCATACTTGCTTAGATTGCATGAGCTACACAAACCCAGAGCATCGAATGGGTGTCCAGCAATGGGTGTCCCCTACTGAACAAGAGATCTCCATTGGATGGTCCAGGTGCCAACAAGTTGAAATGGCTGCGTTTGTGAGCTCTTCCCTTCCGGTAGGCAATTTAGATAACCAAATAATGCCCAATAGATTCCAGTGGCTTCCCAAATCTAAACATATTGTTGGGACTTGTGCCCTCACGCATCAAGTTACAACATGTTACAACAGCATTCAGTGTGAATGTCAGTCTATTCACAACAGCGACCCCCTAGAAGTCATTGAATGTGAAGGAAGTGCCCTTCAAAAGCCCCTTATAATCCTTTGCGTATAGCTAGCTGTCGGCGTTGAGGAACTCCCTGTAGCTCCGAACGGCTCCCCCCTTGGGGGGACCCCCCCAGCGACCCGAAGCCGAATCGCTCCCTCCTGAGCAAAAGCTAGACTCGGCTAGACCAGCTCTTCTCTATAGGGAGACCTGCCAGGCGTTCCGACTAACATGGACCGGTCGAGTCATTGACAGTCACCCTTCCAGTCTCGGCGCTGAGGCCGGCAGGAAGCTACACCGCACCACGCAGCTGGCGTGACGCATGCGTTGCCTCGCCAGGGCGAGTCGGACCCGAATAACGCCGTGCAGAAACCATGCAACAAGGCACCGGTTTGAAATCCAATTTGGATGGGTGAATTGCTAAATCTACCTTCCCCTCTAACCATCATGGAACTTTGAGCAAACCTCTCTATACAAGGAGCTTGGGGCTTGGATAAAGGAAACTGGTCTGACCCATGGGCCCAAGCTGTTCAACTTCCATGATTGTTTCAAGGATGCAAATCTTTTCGGGTGAGTCGGATGTGTCTTGAACATGTTGCGCTCTTCCAGCGGTCCAGCAGCCGTTGATTCTTTCACTGTACAAGCTGGATTGGTGCTGTAACCCCAAAGTGGCGCAAGAAGTGGACACCTGAAACAATATCACCAAGAAAGCCACCAATAAAGCGAGTTGTTGCGGCCAGTTGAGGGAGATCTCTCCGATCTGCAGCCTGACATCTGCGCATTTCGACCAGTGGCAGTGGCTTCAGGGACTCGGGATGCAGCGTGGGTTGGAAGATGCGCCGCTCTCGCAGGTTGAGCACCGTGACCTGGGTGTGCGCTTGGCAGAGCCCGGTAAGAACAGATGTTGCATGGCATGAAGAACCTCAATGACGCTCACCACTGACCACATCCGAAAAAAAAAAACATTGAAAACACAATTATATACATACAAAACCAAAAAGTGTACTGACTGTTAATTACCATATGTAATGTACACAAAAACAAAAGCGTAATATACAAAATCATATACCAGGTCCCTCCAAGGGGTGTGGGCCACTTTTAGGGGTGTCCAAAATTCAACTGTTGGAAGGTGCCGTTATATTATATATAGTGTAATCTATACATCATACACAAATTATTCATATATTTTTTGTCAACTTGCTCATATACCAGCACCATCCAATGGGTCTCCTGGCTGGACTGCCCGAATTGACACACCATCCGGCCACTCACCCCAAACAAATGGTCCAAACATGTACACTCAAACAAACACATCACATGGTCTCCTGGATGGCACCACCCCGTGGGTGGAAAGGAGCCTTGCCATTTTGGCGGACCATGAGTCCGACTGTATCCGACGAGTCCCAGCAATCTCTCCAGTTTCATCCATTTCCCAACACGTTGGTCCATGTTCTATCCATGTTCATCCAGTCTCTCCATCTTGGTCCCAGTGAACCATCCAACAACTAAATCATATTTGTTCATCTAATTTTTGTATTGTTTTTGATTGCAAAGTGAACCCAAAACACTAAGAAGGTCATCTTCCATCCCCCCCGACCACCTTTCCATCTTTCCGCCTCGGACCCCTCCAGCCACTGCTCCCGCGGCACGTGGACGACATCATTCGCCCTTAGGGACTTCCGCATGCCACCGATCCTAGGCGCCGGTCTCATGGTCGATCAGCAGCCAGGCAGGGCGGCCATAACCCCCGTCTCACGGGATGGGTGGATGGATGGACCCAACTTCTCCAAAGTAAAATGAACAAGTACCAGGACCCGACACCGCGGGGTGCCCTGTCTGGAAGCCGAACGGCCGGTAGTGTGGGGTAGTTCCCCCTGAAACTTCGAGGGTCGGAGGGTCCTGGTATGTCTCACCGTAGTTAGGCAAATGATGTGTGAGCTCTCGACGCGTCGGTCTTCTCCAAAAATCCAAACAGTCTCATCAAAAACCCTGGTTTCGGTGACGAGGCGCAGCCGAAAAACTCAGAGACAATCATGGTTCTACGTGGTGACGTGGAGTTCACCACCTGAAACTCAGTCCTTGGACCAATGGTCATCCTGATGAGGGCGCCATTCACGCGGGTTCTTTCAGTGAAACCCCTTATGTCGGACGCTTCCGCTCTGCCGTCCGGCCGGCAAGGTGGCAAGGTGCTGAAGGACCAGGGGCCCTAAAGCCTCTGCAGTGTGTCCGGACATCCCCAGCAACTCGCAAGGCTGTGGCTGCCTAGGGCTTCCAACATCCGAGGTCTGGATAGGAGACAAATAGCAGAACAGGATGAGGTGGTGCACTCATGTTTCTCTGGCTGGTTTCTAAGATGTGGCTACTTCTTCCCCAAGTAAACCGAGAGATTGTTTCGACTGGAATCGGATACGTCACTCTTCCAGTCACCAATGCGGACACCGTTTTCCTCTCACAGAGATGATCTTCGAGGCAAGAAACGGACCCCAAATCGTCCGGTGTATAGGGATAGCCGGAGTCGGCCGGAGTCGCTTCCCGGCGGTCCAAGTTGCAAGCCGGCGTCCAAGCCTGACGCGTCGCTGGAGGGCAATGAGCTCAGGAGGCTTTTCCGCAGGCGGTGGTCATAGCAGAAGTCCTCCCGCACGAATGCAGGCGATGTTTGGACAAGAAATGAACAGCCTGTCCGCCAAGTCATGAAAAACCCCAAGTCCAAGCCCACTTGACTGATCTTTGAAGCATTCCTTGACTACTTGACTCCGCTTGAACCTCCAAATGCATCCAAATGCGGGAAAAATATGGAAAAGTAACTTGGCTTGTCCACTGCCTGCTGGAATGAACATGCAGTTGATCTAGAGTATCAGTTGATTTGGTCTCATTTCGAAAGATCTCTCTCTCTCTCTGTATCTAGTTCCGCAGGCCATGCATGGCCATTGGGTGCACAGTTACATGCCCAAACACGACCCATGGAATGCTGGGATGCATAGATCTTCACTCCAGCACTTAAACAAATAAACAGGGTCTGGGAGCTTGTTACGTCCCCAAGGAAGATTCAAGCATATTACTGTATATATACCCAGAGAGTCAAAAGACCATCGATTTTATAGTCTTTATGTGAAGGACGTAGACTCTTATGGTCGTTCGCGAGTCACGCCTCATCACGCGCCATCACGCGCCATCACGCACCCACATGTTTCTTTTCGAGCGAGCGGTCTTCAACCTTCACTTCCTCCGATTAGAGGATTGACGCAGCCTCATGCAGCGATTTGATCAAGTCATTATAGGCACACCATGTTTGAAGCTCCATATGCACAAACAGATTTCTCTAGATTCCTGACCCAGAGCGATGTTGTCACTCATTGCATATCACAGCCCAGAAGCTTGAATATCTTGTGTTTCAAGGTCCACAGGCGAAGTTTGCTCATACGCAATGCCCACCCCCTTTGATTGGCACCATGAGCTCGTAGCACCGTACCTCAGATAGTGATCCCGATCAATCCCTACACTAGCACTCACCAATGCATGGTCCATGGTGAATATATGCAAGCAATATTAGTTATTTTGCCACTGGGATACGTCGAAGCCATCCCATGTTATCCTCGTCCACGAAGCAATGGTGGTATCGAAAGTTGCATCCTGGACAGAATGCCGGAAACGCGCAGAACAAACACCTTTTGCGATAAAACACTTGTGTGTGCCGTGCACATGCATCATAACACATGTGCATACAAGATTCTCTTTCGAACTTGTAAGAGGAGGTGTGCAAAGGCCTGGGCATGAAGAACACATTCTCATGGTTGTGCACGTCCACGTGTATGACATCAATATAACATCGAGTCTTTGAACAATTCTGCAAGCGAGGTGCATGCAGTTTAGGACGGATGACAAAATGCGGCTTCCCAAGCCTGCAGTATGCAAGTTAACAGCTTCTAGATATCAATTGTGTGCGCGCACAATCAAACAAAGATCGATCGCAAAGAGGTGCCTTGCGCTTTCAGCATTGAGCAAAACGTGCATCCTAGCAAAAAGCATTCCTTCGTGATGGATCTCATCTGCCTGTCGTTGCGACCTTATGCTGGTAGTTCATGTGAGTAATTGTGACGCTTCAGACGTGAAAAAGGATTCATGCGGCTAAAGCACAAGAAGCGAGGGGCAGCCTCCACCAAATGCATGAATCTCGCAAGCGCCGTCCTTGTGACAACATGCCAGTGCAGGCCAAAAATAATACAGTACATGGCAGTGTGCAGTACTTGCAAAACAACACGCTCACATGTGCATGCAGCCGGAAAGCATGCACACTGACATATGGCCAATTCGTTCATCCGAGGTGTGCATCGCAGCTGCAGTGCGCATGACGTGCTCAAGCCACAATTGTATGCACCGATTGTTGTATGCCTTTCCTGTCATGAGGATTTCATCCGATGACTTCACAACCTTGAAATGGCAGAAGTGGCTGAGTTGTGCACTCATGAATTCAAAACATTGTTTTTCATGCCTGCATGCACCTTCCTGCATGCATGCATAACGTTCCAGGAGCACAAGCGCCGCAAGTGAAACATAATTAGCCCAGGTGGCAAGCTTCACAGTGAATGGAGGTTGGGAACAGCGAATCTTGGCTGTCTTGAGAAACTCTTTGAAGCTCATGTACGCCAAGTCAAATTGCTCCTGCGAGTATTGAGAGCAACAAACAGGTCGACCTAAAGCAAGCGTCTCCTGCAAAGTAAGATCTCCGTGGCGACCAAAGATGTCAGTGCTCTCCACGATTGTCATCCTAGGATCGAGAATCAGCAGAAATGCAGATCGTAGTGTGCATGCATCATGTGGTATTACCATTACCATAGTCATGCGGACATGACTCAGACAACTGCCGTTTACACCATACATCAATCCAAGATTGATGCAGTGCATCGAACAGATTGCCAGGCAAGATGGATCGAACCCTCGCAAAAGCACGAGTGGGCCTCAATTGAACAATGATAGAACAAACCATCCACATCCATCGATCCACAAAAGATCAATCACATGAAAACTGACTCCACAAGTAGAGCAAGGTTTGAACACCTTGCCGAGGAGCTCGGGCCCCGCGAAGGAAGTTCACACCGAATGAACTCTGGACAATCGTACTGGCAGTCCCACAGTGGGTTCGATTCTGTGACATTGGTATACCGGTGCGCTCCAGTACGATATGCCGGACACAGAAAACAAACTGGCTTCCTGGCACCAGCCAACCAAGTGGAATTGAATCTCAGCACTTGTTTGTGCCAGACCCAATCCCCGCGCAATTCGACAACCTGGAAACGCTTGCCTGTGATCGGCTTGCCAACGCGATGCCTGAATCTTTCAGGGATAGCCTCCCCGAATGGTCCGCATGCCGGAAATCGATCCTCCCACAGCATGTTCAGGCTCCAGACCAACCGAGCATAGATTCTGTTTAGGGTCACATGCTTGAACAACAAGTTCTCATCGATAGTGCACAGTAGCCACCGACTCGCCCTTGCATTGTTGGGCCGGAACAAAGGACAATTCAAGAATATCCCAACTGCCTTCTGCACCGGCTGATGTGCGATGTGCCTTATTCGACATGAATCACCGTACAATCCCAAAGGGATAAAATCAGTTGACTCTGCTCGAACTGCCCAGGCGGTGCCTCGATTGCGATGTTCTGTCCAGAATGTTCGCACCTGGTTCTCATCGATCTGCAACCCGACATCGTTCCACAAATATTGAATAAGACTGAAAGGTTCAAGCATCTCGATATCTATCCATTTGAACCCCCTCTTACTCTTGAGGTCTTTCACCGGAGCTCGAACTGTCGCCGTTTCCTCATGCGTGCATGGTGAAACGGTGCAAGGCACAAAAAGAACACGCATCGACCGACGTGTTGAGGGTTGATTTAAAAACACACTGTGTGCATGCATTCATTTGATGAATGGACGGCCAAATAAAGCCCAAGTCTCGACCGGTACATGGCAAAAACTAAAGAAGTCACGGACAGTATTGAACTTGGACCTCGTTGCCAATCGAAGCACTGCAGAGCTCTTGATTCTGCTGGCTCCAACTTCCTTAGTCGCCGCCACGGGCCGCCACATGTGTTTTATAAGTTTTTGCACATTAAATTACTCATGCACGTATGTCATTTGCGTGCATGCCGATGCATCGATGGAAACGTTTGACTCCATTGCACTAACATGGATGCAGTTTCATTGTTTAGTTGAGCTTCTTTGTAATGGTTTCTGAGATTCCGCATTGCTTGCTTGATACTGGAGACCTTAGCTGTGATCAGTCACATATTTAATCAGCCAATATACGCAAGTTTGCAATATGAGATCTCTGTTGGACTCGACTGCATGATTGGGACTCATGAGGAATCAGTGGTGCATGGGTCAAAGCACGGAAGACGCGCATCCAAGGAACACTACCTGCGACATCATCAACAGCGGACAGCACGAAGGAGGACAGCTCACGGTTGCGATCGCGGTCATAGGGGCCTGCACAGATACGACGTGCAAATTCTAGATCATGTTTTATCAAAGGTCGACCGACCACACACATGCGTGAGCATTTGGTGCACATAGATTCGGTTCCAGAAATTCATCGATGCGTTAACTGTTTTTGAAGCCGCCCCAATCAGCTTCAGATTGATCCTAATGATCAACACTTGTGATCTCATCTCGAGCAAATAGATGTGTGTGTGTGCATTCACACACTTTGGTAACAAAATTACCACATAGCAGGCTCAGAATCGAGCAGCCACGGTCTGACGTGACCACTTTGGAATTTGCTATCCCGCTATTGGCATGTGTACTGTGTGCACCAACCCTATATCGAATATCGATGTTGTTCATGTTGTTTTTTGTAACAACATATTTCATGAGACTTCTAGTACGGTGCCAAAAGAGCCGGTCTTCAGCTACAGCAATTACAACATTGCTTTGCAATTCTTCCATTCTTTCAGAACTCTGTTGGCTTCAGCAGTTGCTGATGACATTTTCTCCACCTGACACTCGATGCACAGATCCGGGACAGGTAGACGGAGTAACATAAATGGAATATTAACAACTCACGACAGAGATTGTGATGTCGATGTATATAACATCAAATGCACATGTTTTTTTATAAAATAGATGACCTCATCGTCCTCAATCAACTCAGAGATGCCGGTCTTCGAAGTCGCCAGAGCCGTCCGATTCACCTTCAAGGATTCCCTGACCGCGTCTCGCAAGCTGGCCGACCTCAAGCAGAGGTGGCTTTGCATTTGGGCTGCAATATTACGATGATATCACATCATATATAACATCCTGAGTCGCTTGAGCTGCGAACCCTACGTATGATTTGTAAAATGTCGAAGTCAATTGGCATTATTGAGTGATTTCCCAACAAATGTGTCCAAGTTACAGTTCACCGGCTTTCTTTTCCCGACGGGAGATGTCCGCAAGCGATGCCACCAATTCATTCAAAGCCTGACGGTTTGAACTTGTCCCATAACTTGCTACGTTGAGATGTCCGAACACTCGAAACAAAAGTCATATTTGAAGAAGAAGCACATGCATGCATGCGTGCACAGGCTGGCTCGTTTTAATTTATGCATATGCACAACAGCGTGAAAGAGGTGCATGGCTTGCCCAGGCCCAAGCCTTCTTTCCTTTTGATCGAATCTCTTGCTTCTTCTTCTCCTCCTGCTTGGCCTTTTCTTTCTCA